TCAACTCCATGTCATGGGCGCGAGTGGCCAATTCCTCGAAGGTCCGCGGTTTAATGCCTTGAAGGATGTATTGCAAACCCCATTGCATGCCTTGGATGCACATCTCGATTGAAGAGGTTTCCGAGAGCCTGTCTTTACAGTCGAGGCTTAGAGTGCGCCATTTGTTGATGTAGTCAATGACTGGCTCGTCCTTCCACTGCTTTGTGCTCGTTAGCTCTAGCATGCTCACAGTGCGGCGGGTGCTGTAGAAGCGGTTGAGGAATTCCCGCTCTAATTGCTCCCAGCTGTTGATGGACTTAGGCTCTAGGTCCGTGTACCACTCAAAGGCATTTCCTTTTTAGCGAGCGCACAAACTGCTTGGCGAGGTAGTCTCCCTCCGTCCCCGCGTTGTTGCAAGTTTCGACGAAATGTGCAACGTGCTGCTTTGGGTTTCCTTTTCCATCAAACTGCATGAACTTTGGTGGTTGATAACCCCTTGGCATCTTTAGGGCATCAATCTTCTTGGAATAGGGCTTCGAGTAAAACAAGGAGGTATGTGAGCTCCCTTCGTACTGTGCCTTGATGGTGTTGGTGATCATCTCCTGCAGCTGCTGGATAGAAAGAGATCCCATGAGTGCCGCTGCTTGGTCTGGCTCTGGCTTCCCATCGATTTTCTTCACCGGGGGTTCTTCGTCTCCGCCAGCTCCTCCCTTTAGTGGATCATCCTCTGGGTCGGGTTTATCGCCGTCTTGTGCCTCCAATCGGTTGACTAGTGCTGCAATTTGTAAGTCTTTTTCTTCCACAGTTCGGGTTAGCCTTGCGATTGCTTCATTCATTTGAGCCAGCTGCTCATCGATTGAAGTTGCTCCAATGGTCATGACTTGCATGGCTGAACTGTCGCTTGAATCGGCATCGGAGAGCATGGATTCAGAGTATTTCCTTGGGCTTCCCCCCCTTGGTGCCCTTAGTGAGGCTAAGGTGATCAAAGGCTCGTGCCTTGGGTGCTTTTGTTCCCTTGGCAGAGTTGATGCAGAGGTGAAAGAGGTGGCAGAACTAGCTTTTGCCATACTTCGAGTCGTGATGCCCAAAGTGACACCACTTGCGACGATGACGCTCTTGTTCTTTGTACCGGTTGCGGGAACAGTTTGAGCCTTCCTTGCTGCCATTGACTTTGAAAGCGCGCTTGAATTTCTTGAACGGAGAAAGAGATGAGAGGCAGAGATTGTCCCACTGGGCGTGCCAATTTGTGAACACGGAAAATTCCCGAAACGAAAGAGACAAGAACAACGTGCACAAACAAAATATTTGTGTTTTGATGATTTTGGGTTACAATCTCTCTCTAATTTGATCCTCTGATTCGATCTCCGTAAGGTGTTGATTGGTGAGTGTTTCGTTGATCCAAGGGCCGTCGAGGCTTAATCTTGGATGAACAGTTGGAAGTTTCTTCAAAGGGCCGTGGGCTTGATCTTTGAAGGTGGATTTGAGCGGATCTTCAAGGGCTTTTGGGCTTGATCTTGAAGAAACGGTGATGAACAGATCTTCAAGTGCTTTTGGGCTTAATCTTGAAGAACGGTTGGATGTATGGATTTGTCGACGTTGTTGATCCAAGGGGCCGTTGGGGCTTGATCTTGGATGAACAGATGATGAACGATGGTGTTTTCTTCAAGGGCCGTCGAGGCTTGGGCTTGATGAACAGCGGATGAGCGGATTCGATGATGTTGTCGATCCAAAGGGGCCGTTGGGGCTTGATCCTTGAGGATGAACAGTTGATGAACGATGAACGCTTTCTTCAAGGGGCCGTCGAGGCTTGGGCTTGAAGGTGGATGATTGTTGATCCAAGGGCCGTCGGGGCTTGATCTTGGAAGAACGATGAACGAAGAACGAAGAACACTTTCTTCAAAGGGCCGTCGGGGCTTGATCTTGAATTGGTGGATGATTGTTGATCCAAAGGGCCGTTGGGGCTTGATCTTAGGATGAACGAAGAACTAAGAGAGCTTTCTTGATTCTTCGGGAACCTGGATGCTTGAGAGCTTCGGAGTTTCAGAGCTTCAGAGCTTGCTTAATGATTTTGGTTCCCCTAAAATGAATGAAATAGGCTTGTATTTATAGAATTTTCCAAGGCCTAATTTTGAATATAATATCCCAGATGAAATAAGTCGTTTCTGCCAGGTGTTGACACGTGTCCTATTTGATGACTTTTCCAACTCATTTCAATTTTCGTTGAGTCACACGCTACGTGTAAAATTTATGTAATACATGAGCGTTGACACTTTGATTTACCGGTCAACATTTATTTACGAAATTTCGATGTCTACAACAGTCATAGAGCCATATCCAATTAAAAGGGCTAAAGACCTAAAAGTCAAAAAATTGTTTGATTTACCAAAAAACTCATATCCAACCGATTATTGAGTTATAATTCTATAGAGTCTACCAGACTATTATTTGGCCAAAAGGCCATCAGGCTAACCAAATGTAACCCTCCTCTTAGCTTATTTTTTGGGGCCCAACTTCTCAGTTAAAATAATTGATTCGAATTTAACGGCTAGATTTGAAAGCATCCAACGATATTTAATTAAATTAACAATAAATTTAAAATATAAAGTTAAAGCTAATAAATTATCGAGAGAGCTATCTTTAGCAATTTGGTTGAAGATGGTATATGAATATGGCTTGACACTGTTCATTTAAAAATAATTTTTTGCAGAATTATAATTTTAGACAGGACTATTTTTAGCCCTTTCAGTTGAAGATGGACCAAATTATGATTGTACTATCAACACCTCACACGCTTTGATAGTACAGTCATAAGCTACTAGGATTTCTAGTATGGTCCATTTATGGGTAGGACTTTATTAGATTGAAGCCAATCATCACAAGCCATCCGTTTCTTATATAGTTCTTGTGATTAAGGTGCAGTAGTGAGGAGAAAATCTCGAGTTCTTCTGTGGAGATTATTATCTCATTCATCATGTCGAGCTCGCAAGATTAATTTATTCATTATGTTTTAATGGTACGAAACTGATAATAACTTGCACTTAGATGGATTGAATTTCATGTTCCATTGCATGAGTTTTTCATTATGGATTGTTTTCGAAACTGCTAATGATGATCAAATTTTTTTTCTTAATTATTAATTCGCGCCGATGAACTAGAATAAAAAAAAAAAATTGGACTCCAAACCGAAAATTGAAAACTGAAAGCTCATATTGCTTTTAATTCAACATAAGAAATTGAACTCTGAGCTGAAAATTGAAAATTCGTCACCCATGAGCAAATGCATATACAATACTTGTGAAGAAAAAAAAGGAAACACGAAAGTATATTTTTTGTATAAGTGGTTGAACCCAACTATTACCAGATGCTTTTTTGGTTGCTCCAAAATATTAAAATTATTTATACAAGTTATTCAAAAAGTGCAGCGTAAGATGCTTTTTGGCTGCTCCAAAATATTAAAATTATTTATACAAGTTATTAAAAAAATGCAACGATTTTGTATTCTCCAAATCTGACCCTGCCCCATGTGCAAGGATGCCCTATCTTTCCATCTCTTTATACATCCCCCAAAACAAAGAGCCAAAAATGTCCCCTCCTAATCACTCTTTTAGTTAAGAGATAATTAGAGTAATGATCTTTTAATTTTTGCTCGATTGAAATTTTGGTTTTTGAATTAAAAATTCGTGAGTATTGATCCCTAAAGTTGTAATAATATGGAGCAATGGTCATTTTGACTAACTTTATTAGAACTTCGATCTATTTCTTACCCCTTTAAACCTTTTACTTTGGATGGAAGTTCTAAAAGAATTAGCGAAAATGACCATTGCTCCATATTATAACAAGTTCAGGAATCAATACACTCACCAATTTTTAGTTCAGGAACCAAACTCTAATAGGATTTTATAATTTAGGGACCATTGCCAATTTTCGCTTTTATTTGCCCATATTTTTAGCTTCCCACCCGATCGAAATTCCAGGTTTATTTTTCTAATCGTAACCCTGATATCACGACGTCTGGCACTTAACTAACCATCAAGATCAATTATTTTCCATTATATCGATTTGGAATACTTAAATTTTGATCAAAGGAATAATAAAACAATGCACTAAGAAAACTAGGTCAAATAATATGAGCTAATATAAGATGCATCAACGGGTCCACGTGCATGTTATGGAGCAATGGCTTCAATCTATCCCCCTCTTTGTTTCTACTGGGACAAAATTTCAGAAAGATTTGAGGAATATATGCAAGATTTAGTTGACATGACGATATCTATTTGAAGTTATTTTAGTTTATAAGATTAAGATTTGAACTTGAGTGCAAATAGCAAGCACATTGATCTTCTAATCAGTTGAGCTAATCCATATACGCGTCATATATGTAGAACTTGAGGAAAGAAAAATGATTTTTGCACTCACACTTTCTGTTTGCCATAGAACATTCGTAGAATATGAAGAAGGAAAAATAACTTTGCACCCAGAGTCATTTTTTTAGACGCACTGCCGAATAAACCAAAGAATAATCCATAAATAAAAACATAGGTAAAATGCAAAAGTGGAAAACCAGCGTGTGAAAATTATTGTACAAGTGGGTAAAGTGGAAAGAGAAATGCTAAAAGAACTTTCAAAGTGAGATTTTTCATGAACTATTTGTCATCTCACAATTTAACGTTAATTTTGTGTCAACATTATAAAATAAGGAATTGTTATTGGCACTCCAAAAATCTAATTTTTCACTCCAAACTTTCTATAATTAGAAAAACAAAATACGCTTGTGAAGTGTGTAGAATGAAAATTTTGAAATGCTAATAACGATTCTAATAAAATATTGTGCAAAAAATAAGAAGTGACAGTGAATATATGAAAAGTCTCCTTAAAGCATCTCCAAAGGAGATGTCAAATTTTAAACATAAATTTTGATTTTGACAGCTCATGTGGCATTTTGACATCTTTCAAAATTTTACTTTCCGCCCGATATGTCAAATTAAATATTATTTTATTAAACTATTATTTTCTGGGTTTGGAATGAAGACTCCAGAGTCCTAACCCACCCCCACTCCTATGTGCAGAGAAAGAGAAAGCTCCCATTTCCTTCTGGACACAAACGAAAGAGGTAAGCAAGCACGCACTCAATTCTCACTGTCTGTTTTCAATTACGTATTCTTTGAATTTCCATCAAATTTTAAGTTTTAACCAAATATTGGATTCTTCATCATGACGATATCTGGTCTGATCGATTCCCTTTTTTCATAAATACTTGCTTGGTTGTTGAGAAAAGCATAAGAAAAGTCATCAAAAGAAAAAGAGCTTTAAGAAATTAAACTATGGATTATTGACTTTATATAGCGTTTTTGGAAATTACAGTTACAGCCCTTGAACTGTTTCAAGAATTTTTATTTGATGTATCCTCCTTTAATTTTTCTCTGTTCAATTTGGTTGTCAAGAAAATTAAAGCGCCGCTGCTTCTTTCTTCGACTCCTAGACGAAGAGGTTCACCAGCTTCATGTCGTCGCGCTTGATCAACCTGTTTGAAATTCGGAGCCTTTGGCGGGTCCTGGGCTTGGACCCGAGATGGGTTGAGAGCTTGAGGACGGGGGCGAAATGGGCAGATGACGGCTTGGGGAAAGAGTGAGAGGGGTAGGGGGTGGCCATGGACGCCATTGAAGGAGGTGAGAAAGGAGAGTTGCAGATCTGATAAAAAAATATTTGACGTTGCTGTGAAATTTGACAGCAAGGGGGAGAGCTGCTATTTCTTGTCATGCCACATTAAATTTGACTTTTCGGTTGGAAAACATTACAACTGTCTTTTTTATTTTTTACTGTTATTATTGATTTACACATTTTGACATCTTCTTTGAAGATGTTCTTAACATTCAAAATTAAACACTGATTGCCTGTCTAATTTCAAACATTATTTTTATTTGAATTTTTGAAATTTATGGGGTAACAAGGGGTCCAAGGTCCCACGAAGTGATGACAGGGCGAAGTTCCGTATTCGAGTGCGCGGTTAAAACCCCGTTATCCCACGTCAGTGTCAGGGGCTAATCTGGCAAAGCCACTCATCTGGGGACACATGACAATGGGTCCTGCAATCAGCTACTAGGGTCGGCATTGTGGTGGGTTTCACATGTGGGACCATGTGTCATCTAAATTGGCCAATGGAAGTTTTGGCCTTCGAAAGGGCTTTTAGGTTTGGAACAGATTTTTCAGAATCATGGAAACATGAGGATGGTACGTTTTTTTGTTATTATATAAATTGTGAGATATATATTTTAAAAAGTTAATAATTTAAAAAATAAAATTTCTCACATTTAGTGTATTACCTATTTTCCGGTCAGAATAAAAAATTTCTCCAAATTCAAAGAGTGCCACAGGCGTCACGGACCCACAGACAGAGGACAAGGAGAGGGTTTGAATGAATGAGGATCCTCTCCAAATCCTCTTTGTTAGGATCTTGGAGATTCTCAAGTCGTGCCAGGTTATCGTATATTGTGCAGCCATAAATTATTTTAAATATTTTTATTTAAAATTAAATATGAATAATATATGACAAAAACTGATCGTACGATGTAAGATGAATATATATAATTTGAGAATTTTTAAGATCCTCACAAAGAAGATCCGAAGCGTATCCTGAACCGAATCCTCTCCTCCTCGTACGAGCTGTCGTATTTAAAAGCAAAAAGCAAAAATATATGCACTGTATGCTATTGCAGGCAAACCATGATCTAAAAGAAAAAAGCTCTTTGTTTGACCAAAAAGCAAAAATATATGCACTTTATTTGACAAATAAAAATAAATAAATAAAAATAAAAATATTTTGAAAACTTTGAGTTTTAATGATAAGGACAAGATAAAAGGTAAAGTGAATAGTACCATAATTGATTTTTCAATATAAAAATTTGGTTTTTGTAAATAGTACCGGAAGCTTTTCGTTAAAATTCTAAAAAAATAAAGACCAAACGGTGACAAGAGTCCTATCCATATTTTGTTGATAATATAAATTATAAACTAACACCAATGGTGCTCTTAATTCTAATTAGAGCACCTGATTTGATTATTATGTGGTATATTAACTTGTTGAATAGCCCACTAATACAACAAAATGGTTATATTCCTTTTTCGTTATAGGTAAAGTAGAAGATGTAATGTTCAGCTCACGAGTTTACGAATTTCATAACTAATTATTATAGATGTCGTAAATCCTATTAAATATGAATGCTTGAAAATACCACGATCATGGTTCATTGACTTGTACACTTTTTCATTTAGTTGTACATTTGCCACATTAAGTGAGGAATGCAACACAGCTTGAACAGTCTACTACACCGTCTGATTGGTGTAAGTACACTGTTTGATGGGTTGTTTGGAAGTGTTCGTGCTTTCTGTACCACTGAAAATCTTTTGATTAGGAGCTATAAAATAAGTTTAAAAAGTACTTAAAGAGACGCACAAAGGTAAGCTTGTAATTGCTTTTGACGTCCTATCCAAAAGAGAAAAAGAAAGTAATAGCCAGCCATGGACGGTGGAATGCAGACGTGGGCACTTTTTTGTATGTAAGTTTGTTTATCTGATCATAACTTACAACTTTTGTTGCTATTGAGCATCGTATTTGGCATTAATGTTTGGTTTAGGGAATGTCCTTTATCGTTTTTATACTTAATCCACTGATTAAGCTTTTTTCATGGCAGTCGAGTCGGACGATGGGTGACAGTGTAAGCTGGCACATCCCAAATGCCAAAGCTAGTTTTGTAACGTACGTTCTAATCACTAATTGTTAATTAGCTTAATTAACACTCTCTTTAATCAGTCGACTTGTTCTTTGCGTTTATTATTTTTAAATTTTGGATGTTTTGGATTTGATGTGTAACCACTTTCGATCTACGTACGCAGTAATGTTTTATATTTTATTTTCCTTCTGTTTTTGGGGAGTACAGGTTGTACAGTCGCCACAGGGCCGCCAGGTAGAGGATATTAACCTGAAGTTCTGCTTAATTGTTTTGGATTAGCTTGTCAATTTGTGATTTGTTAAGATTAATACAAACATCAGCAGGGAAGCGTACTGGAAACAAACTACAAGCAAGTTCTTACATGGTACAGGTCTAAGTACCAATCTTCATCAGACTCGTGCATGCAACAGAAACATATAGCAGATGGCTTTTTATTTTTTACTTTTATTTTTTATCAAACAAGAGATAGTGATTAGTGAAAAGGATTGTCTTTTGTCCCCGCTTGATTAGCTTCACTAATTAGGACATTTTTTTACCGTCCAGTGTCAGAACACTGCAGCATCACCATGTTTTGCTTTTCAATTAATCTTATCCGATTTGGATAGCTGGATGATAAAAATTTGATGTGTTGATTGTTTATATTTTTGAAGTTAATCCCTAATATTACTGATATTATTAAAGCGCGTATATATATGAAGCGTGAAATTACAGTGCAAGAGTTTTGAAATGGATGTTAATCAAAATTAATCTTAATAAAGAAAGATTGACTACCTCATGACTAGTGCTGTGAAATATATATCATTAGATTCACTACGTAATTCTCAATGGACATGTACTGCTAACGTGCACTTGGGGAACACATATGGCTGCATCGTTAGTAGAATGCAAGATTGATTTTACTACACGTGAGCTCATTGAGGCAATTTAATTATTCAATATCTTGACATTTGATGTAAACGTTTTTATTCATATCTAATAAAGTTTATCTATTCATAGAGGGAAAATAATACCAGTTGGAGAAGTACTAATTTATATAGGAAACAACTTCGCTGCTGAAAAGATCAGCAGTAGCTGCTGTTGATGGCCTATCATACGCGGACACATGTTCAAGTTTTAATTAATATAATCAAAACTTAGACACGTATCCGCACGTGATTGGTTATCAGTAGCGAAGTCTTGTTCTTTATATATTGTCTAAACAATCAACAAGGGGAAGGGAGTGAGTGATTAATAATCAATTAGGATGTTATTATTCATGCTGTTAATCAATTTGAAGCACGCATGTACGTACACCTGTTGAGTGTTGACAATGTCATAGTCACAACAGCGTTTTCTAGTTTGCAAACACACCTTTTAATTGAATACTTAATTACACACACCACTAAAATGGCATGGAATATGCAAATTAATTAAGAACACCTTCTCAGCGAAGTCTTGTTCTTTATATATTGTCTAAACAACCAACAAAAGGGGAAGGGAGTGAGTGATTAATAATTAATTAGGATGTTATTATTCATGCTGTTAATCAATTTGAAGCACGCATGTACGTACACCTGTTGAGTGTTGACAATGTCATAGTCACAACAGCGTTTTCTAGTTTGCAAACACACCTTTTAATTGAATACTTAATTACACACACACACACACCACTAAAATGGCATTGAATATGCAATTTAATTAAGAACACCTTCTCTACCAAAAATTAAAAGAAGTGGCGTCGTCTATTCGATTTGTGAATATCTTGCTCCAAATTATATATATATATATATATATATATATATATATATATATAATATTCCAGGTTGGAATTAAGTAAACAGCTCATGTGATTCTTCTTTGACACAAGTTTCTCTTAATTTATCATATTAATTATATAGTTTTATCATTAAGAAATGAAACATGAAAACGGAATATAGGGAAACTATGTCAACATCTGAAACTCGAGTTCACATTTAACTGAAATATATATGTGTGTGTGTATATATATATATATATATATTCATAAAAATGCATAGAAAAAAACGTTTTAAACAATTAAAAAAAAAAAGAATCAGCTGGTGGTGAAGCCACGACAATCCATCACTTCAAGGGTTGGAAAGACATACAAAGGCAATTCAGCCTTCTTCTAGCTACTATCATGTGATTCATAAGCGTAAGGAATTAAACATATAATCAACCATGTGAAATACAAGCCTGAAATTCGAGTCAACCACTGGATCATTATGTGGTGGTTAACTTTTCAAACAATCTAAATAGGTGAATAATCAATACCATCCAAACAGATAAAAAAGAGAGGAGGAAATGGATGAATAAAAGTGAATTTATATATGTTCAAAACAATGTGGAATCTGGAGGGGTGAAGGAAGGTTCCGCTGAATGTACAGTTATGCGCCGCACCGTTTAAGCAAGGTAATTGGAAGAAGAAGAAGAAGAAGCCGGCGGTGCGTGCTTCATCCTCCTGTAAAAGTCAAAGTATTGTTTTATTGACGTGTGTGTTTGAGTAGCTACATATTTTCGTTAAACATGGATGCATGCCTGAATGTTATTGGTTGAATATGCATGCGTGTAGCAAATCTATATATTTTGGCATCTCTCCTTGTTCTTCAATACTCTCGAAAATTCAATTTTCATTCGTTTGGTATAGAGAGGATTTTCATCCAGGAAAATTAGCATAACATATAAATTAAAATTTTCTTTTGACTCTGGATGTAGGTGGTTTGAGCATCCTTCCCCTACTGTTTATTGTGCTTTGTTAGATGATTTTTGGGGAGTTTCGAATCAAAGAACCATTTTGTATATTCTCTCTCGAGGCTAAGTTGTTTTTGTGCTATAAAGAAAAAATATTTGCACATTTTGACACCCCCACCCCCCAAAGAAGAAGAGGGTTATAGTAGATAGTGCAGTAATATAGGTTAGACTATTTAGTTAGGGCAGTGATCTCGCTACAGGATAATGAGTAGTAAACAAAAGAAAAAGAGTCTAAATTTGATTTTCCTCTGTAAATTAAATTAGATTAAAATATCACTTTATAACAAAAATAAAAAAGGCAAATAGTGGGGGATACAAGTGGAAACTTATGGATATGGTGAATATGGTGAGGGCAGCTGATG